CTGGGTTCGACTCCTGACAAGAAGAATAGTTTATGTTGACAGGAAAACATCCGCGTTAAGAGAACGACGCCAGTGCAAAATTCTTTCGTTTCGGAGAGGAAATTACAGGATCTTAGGTCACAGACCCAAGTCTCTCTTAGGAAAACACCATTCCTGCGTAAGGAACGCATTGCTGGAAATGGTAAACAGAGCCTCATAACTGAAACGAGAGTTTGGTCGCGGCGAAAGCCTTGACGGTCTGTTGCTGCTGATGAGAGGTACATATCGCGTGAGGCAACTCGTCCTTCTTGGAAAGGATTTTGGTTGGAGAGTTGTATGGAATTTGAACCCAGAGGTCGCTCACGTCAGCTGAAGGTCTCAATGATTTGGGAGTGGCGGGCCACCCTCCTTTTAAATTGTGCCCTTGTATTTGCCTTACAACTGAGGAAAAGCTCGTAAAACCGCATCCCCAACTTCCTACTAGCGCCAAGTAAAACTTCTGTGATTTCCTTATCAAAATAGTCGTTACCCAATTAAATTTCAAATGTGTCTTGTCTAAATAAATCATGTCTCGGATCCATCAAAAAGTTTTTCCGGGCTTTTTATCAAAGAAGGATCACGTGCATTGACCTTCTACGATTTCAATTCCGAGAAACAGAATTTACGTTCCTTCACTTCGATGCCAGCAGTTAATATGAAGGTTTCATGCTTGCCAGTTGGTTCCTCATCGTTTAAAACTGAAAAGCATCAAGCGACTTTCGCTACTGTTACGCACTGAACTCAAGGAAAACTTCTTAGTTTTCACGACACTTCGTGCATGAACCATCAGCTTTAACAAATTTAACGCTGCATTCTGTATTTATGGGTTGCATTGCGAGCAGTGATTATTTGCAGTTCTAAAATATTTTTTAGACCGTCTTCCGATTTAAAGAGTTCCGAAATTAATTCAAGAGATTTTTTCGTATTGCTGGAAAGTTGAAATATTTACCATAAATGCAGAAGGTATTTGAAGTACAACAAACTCGTGCTGTAGAAAACAGTTCTATCTCAATTTGTTTAGTATTCGTGACAGCACAAATAAAATCAGACGATTGGGCGTTGCCAATAACACGACATAGATACAACCAGCAGCTGCTATTCTGCCTTAAGGACGAAGGTGGCTACAGAATTCCTCCGGTAGGCAACATTACAGAAGTAGCGTCCTCTAGATTCAACGAGATCTTCCATATCGAGTTGCTGGCATGTGAATGTTTAACGATTGCACACCAACCCTCACTAAACCACAGACAATTACAAATACAACTGCAAATAATAATAATATTAAATTAGAATCCCTTACCTCAAACTTTGTTCAATTGTACGAGACCACGACGTCCACGGGCAGTTTCACAGATTTCTTAATAATTCTTATATAAGATAAGTACCTGTGATTTTCTAAAACGATTTTAACGGCACAAAATTGTCTACTCTACGACGCACTTGTTCCACAAACGACTCACAGCAAAGCTCTTTCAGGAATGACGAAAGCGGATTGTTGACGGCAATATATACTAATGCAACAATGCCGAGTAAACAGATGACGCAACAATTACTTTCTTAGGTAACATAACAATGCACGCATGAGTTCATATAAAAGCAGGCCTTCTCTATTTAGAATATAATTGGAATCCTTTTCAATAAACTTATCTTGAGCAAATCCTGTCGCCCCCGTCTACAACAGCTGGAAATGGAAAGTCTTGCTTTCTGTACAAGGTCCTCAATGTGACTACTACACTTCATTTAGTAAGTTAATTATTCTACATTATAATTAATCATGTATGTGCTATATATGATTATTATGATTCCCGTAATTAGCTTATAGGTATACAACATGTCCGACGATCACTGTTTCCTTGATTTGATCATCCTAATAATATTTGTGAGAAGCCAGGTTTTACACCCATACAAATTGGCACTAAGTTGTGGGAATTTATAACTTGTGGCATGAACAGAACATGCTTACTTGTAGTTGAAGTCTGCGTTTCATATTTCAAGACACCAAGAACTGTGATCACGTTGATAAACAGAATGTCAATTTAAATCCTGACGTTCTACAAACGCAGAACAGTAAATATCTGTCTCCATTGGAAGCGTAAAATCAGGGTCCCAAAGGATTAGCTAAGTAGGTTTCTGTACCACTCATTCAACTAGTAGACGTGTTTATAACAGGATCCTGTTACAAATTCTGTGTGTCGTGTTCACAACACCAAATTATTTTGCAAGGTTGGCACTATATTATTTTGTATTTTTCTAACATGTTGTGTAATTGGCAGTTCTGTACTTTTAAATTATATATGAAAGACAAAATTCTAAGACTGTGTTGTTTTGTTCCTACGTCACAACCTCGCATTGCAGCCGACCTGGTTGGATACCATGAAAATCTGCAGGACTTCAAATTCATTATGTTTATATCAGGTTTCATGCAAATCTGTCTGAAGCTTTCATGTTGACTCGGTATAATGAATTCTTCTCGGGCTACCAGCCATGTCGGGCGGCTGAATGGAGAAAACACCGTTTTGAGAACCGTCTTCATCCTCATCTTCAGGGTACTGAAGATCCCCCAAGGATAAGGACGAAGATGGTTCTTGAACCGGTGTTTTCTCCAGTCAACCGCCTGACAGCCCGAAAAGAAATCATTTTCTGTCTAACACCATCTATAATACTGATTTTCAAATATGAAGCGCGGCAGACGACCACATGGCTTCATAACACAGACTCTGGTATTATTTACAAAGGATTTATTAACCATTATTTTGTCCTCCATTCTGAAGAAATTACACAAAATTCACAAACTAAATAGTTATTAAGGGAAGAAAAAATGATCAAGTCTGCAATTTTCAAACAGATCTGATAGCAACAATTTGTTCTTTCATCTCGCACACAAAATTATGACACACTTCCACTCGCTGGGTTATTTGTTTGGAGTTTTGTGATTTCGGCTTTGAATTTCACAATCGTCTCTTTTGCCAATTTTACTCTCTCCTTTAGGTCGCTGATCTCATAACGAATCTTATTTTTGGCATTCAGTATGCTCTGCAATGCCTTCTGCTTCTTGTCTTCAACTGAAACAAGCAAAAACATGATCAATGAAAATAAAAAGGGATCAGACCAAAAGGAAATAAAACCTTCAGCTATTTGTGACAAACGCTTAATGTGCTGAAACGATAGAAGTGTACTCGCAAAGAACGTCTTTAATCATGCTGAAAACAAGTTTGAATTGGGATGGATAGACCGGTAATACTGAACTAGACGAATGCCGATCAACATTATTGTTTGTCTTAAAATTACATCAGATTCTGACCAAATAAGTTCCAGTTAAATATTTGTATTCCTGTCAAACAAATGTGTGCAATTTATGTGCATCTACGCAGTCTCCACATCTGTAATTGATTTTACAGCAGCTCTATCAGGCAGTACATCACATCATTCTGTTTCAATTTACTATGCTAGAAAATGCCAAGCCCCACTCCACTTACAGTCAGTTTCATGTTTCCATGTTCCGTGTGATAGCTGTCGAGTGGTCGTCAATAAGTGTTGCATCAGGACTGTAGGGTCTTGAAACACAATTTCCTCATAAAATTCAGAAACAAGTGTCTTTTTTCCTTGCATTACGTCTGGCCCAGACTGAAAAAGCTTGAGGATGTGGTACAGTGTCACCTAAAATAGCAATATTTTGTATTTGCTGTGACAAATGATATTTGTGTCACTATTATAATGTTACTGTAGACAATAATAATTAATATTTATAAACTAAAATGCAGTAAGTTAAATAATTATATATACTATGAAATTACAATGCTGATTGTAGAGTATCACAATGACAACACTGTAATAAGACTTACTGTTGGGCGTTCATTCGGATCATGGAAATATATTTTAATGACAATCTCAAATTCTCCCCAGCCTGTCTCTGTAACTTCATATGGAGGCTTCACCACTATTCGATTTGGCTCTGCATAACTTTCATGCAACTTGAAATGGACTTTTTTCACATAAGTTGACATGTCTTCATTATGATATGGTTTTACATAAACAGTCCACTGATGTGTATGGCCATCTTCTTCTCGTTTCTTTCCAAAGTATCTTGCTATGTTTCCATACACTATTGGTTTCACAATACACACACCCTGTGAAAGTTATAAGACAATTAAAATTCACTGTCATGTTTTCTGAGTAAAATATTCGGAAGTCGATTCCTCAGTTCGTGGGTCATTTAATGATGCCGTACCAAATGTTGTGTGGAAATAATTTGAAAATATGGAGAAGGAAAAGATCGTAGGCTATTTCAATTACTATTATCACATTCGCGTGGATTAAATTTTTGCAGGATAACTAATAAATACAGTCATGATAGCCAGTTCTCATGCCAAGATTCCATACGAATACACATTCTAATCACAATGTGGCGTCATTTTTAAAACCTTTCAAAATTATTAAAACATGTGTTACCTTAACTCGTCCTCCAGAATCCGGTCCATAATCAGTAGGCCCAGACATTCTATAACAATTTATTACGTATTTAATAACCTTAGCAACATAACCTTAAAACTGGTATTTGGCTTCCTCCAAACTATAACCTACTTCGCAACGCTACAGCTGCCATCTTTGGAAGCTGTTCATCTGTGGAATATAAATGGCTGTTGTGTTTGCACGTGTGGGATGCGAGGGAAAAGGTTTTCGAAATATATATTGTTAGATTCGGCCCATAAGCCGTTTGATAAAAGTGAATGTTCAGTATATTGTGTTCCAATTTGGAATTATGGAATCTCTAGCAATAATGCTATCAGTTTTAGCGGCTGGATCTGTAGTCTTCATAACCGGCTTAAACTTGTATTTCAAAATCAGGTAGTAGTCATTTGTGCAAAATTTGACTTTATAATAAGTTTCTAAAAACTAACAGTCATTCCGAGTGCTTTAGCTTTTGGTGATTAAATTACAATACAATACAATATGTATATGAACAGTTTTGTTCACCAGGCGATACAATTACAGTTTCACCATTGTATTCTATTTTTTTCCACAGACACAAATTTCCAATTCGTGTTAACTGTTGGTTCTGCAACAGTTACACGGATGTTCCATATGGAAACCGCAATTATTGGGATTGCCCGAATTGTGAACAATACAATGGATTTCTCTCAGTGAGTTTTTATTACATGTGTAGTGTATTGAACCTACAAGAAATGTTTTATCTTCATTTTGTGTATGTGGCTGTCTCATATACTGTGCATTGTCTTTATTCACAGGATGGAAGCTACAATAAGACTATCCCAGCCCAGCATGATGAGCTCTTGAATCAACCAGTCCATGCAGTCTCTCCTAGAAAGAAATCACTGTTGGATGCAAATGGAAATGGGCTGTGTCGAAAGTGCAACATAAACCAGGAGCTGAAAGTACAACAACTGGCTTTGTTTATGCCTGTTAACCCAGCACGCTATGACGAGGAAGTGGATGAATTTAGGTACATTATTTGTTTTATGGTGCTTTGCTCTGAGCAAAATGTACTGTTGGTTTTAAATAAAATATACCCTCAACTCAGTGGTAAAATATATATTTGTTCTGTATATCGTGGCCTGAAGTAAGGAGTGTCAACTAAATACAGATAGAAGTGAACAAAATTATGTTTCATAAAATTTTATTTGAACATAAATAATCCTTGAAAAGTGCAGTTCACAGTCACGTTCTGTCTTCAAAGTGTTCCATACCTCATCTTGTCTGGCCAGAAGATAAATCGATAGAGTTCTTGTAAAATTAGTGATTTATTGTTATTAGTCTGTAATTACAGTTAACAGTACTTCTTGTGATTTCAGGCGTCATTTGGAACGTGCGTATCGCCTTTGCTCCTCCTGTGAAGAGGTCCTTAAAATGACACTGCATAAACAGAAGTCCATGCTTCTTGGTTTCAAGCTGACACAGTTACGTAACTCTTCGTTACATAAAGTAAGTTCATTTTATATAAAAGATTTTCAACCAGGTTAGAGTCAGTCTCCCGGTTGAGATTTGAATCCAGAACTCGTGATTACAGAGAAGAGTGCTAAGAACTCGGTCTGATAACACAGTGAACTTGTTTCGGTAGTAACCGTAATTTTCTTAAATTGCTGCTTCGTGTTTCAGGGTTTTGTCTCTGTCCTCAAGGCGAGATGTTTCCAGTTCTACTTATCGTGGAACCGTGTGGCACGTTACTTTGCTACCGTGTTGGCTGCGTGTCTTGTTCTGGCTGCGTCTGTCGACCTGAACGATGGACAGCTCCCATTGTCTAGTCTGGTGCAGAATTCTACTCTGTGGTGTGCGGTCGATGTCTCCCCACACGTCGTTAATCTCGTGCCAGTGACGCTGATGTACGAGATACCTCTGACTGCACTTGGTACAGTGACCCAGTTCGTAGTAACCGTGCCAAGGAAACGTGGAAACATCGGCATAATCTGTGTATGCTTTTGGATCGTTTTACACGCGCAGTCATGGCTGAAAAGATGGGAGAAGTTGGAGGAGTATATTAGTTTACTGGATTTTAGTATTGTGCACGTGAGTTTTAAAGTGATATTTATGGTAATTACTGATAAAGTAGTCTAAAGTCGACGAGGACTTGACATTTCCTCAACCAACTCCTAGTTGTGATGTTCGTTATTCTTGTCTGTACTAGGTCTTAGCAATTTTCCCGGCCGACTCACGGCTGTAAAACCTTCACACCTATGATTAAAGAAACGGCCCTCTAATCTGCGGTGTGGAGGGAATGTCATTTCCAAAATCTAGGTTAAGTTAGCTTAAATGTAGATTCTGACATGCATTTGGAGAAAATAAGTTTAATATCTACTGAAGGTGATGGTTGCATGATTAGCTCTCGTGCTTTAGGAGGTTCCAGGTTCAAATCTACCAGCTCTGCTGCCCTGATTAAGGTTTATCATGATTGTTCTCAGACATTCCAGGTGAATACTGGGACAGTGCCTTAAATTAGGCCATGGCCGCTTCCTTCTACATCCTTCCCAGTTCATTACTTGCCAATCTATTGTCTTGACGCTGTATAATCTGAGCTGTTGACTGCATTTTTAAATGAGAACATCTGTTGGCAGTTCTGATTGTGTCTGTTCATCTATGTATAAGACCCAGGTTTAATTATTTATGCATTTGTTGTGTATTTAACAATGCTGTAAGTAGTTTGGACAGTATAGCATTGAATTATAAGATGACTAGAGCAGGGCGCTCCTTTCGTTTGAAAAACGCAACCAAACTTGGTTAGTCCCAAAGTGGAGTTAGTTTAGTGTCTCATTCAAGTGTTTTAACCCCTGAGTAAGAAACTAAAATAACCCACCCGAATGGGGGTTTTAAACACTTGACCAACCCCCCTAAGGGGGTTGGTTGCGTTTTAAAATCTTGAGTAAGACACTAAACTAACACCCGTGTATAAACAAATATAAGTTGATATTGTTGATGACGTCATTTTTTGTCGACAACGATGGCTAATCCTTTCGGAGAGCTTCCTGTAATCTGATGTTTTAGTTCTTTACGTAGCTTTTCAGAGACCAATTGTTCTTGGTCAGTCAACTTTCTACGTCCAACCACACCCTTGCAAATCTTCGTTTTCTTTTTTCCCCTTCTGTTTTTGTTGAATAAGTTTTTCTGCGTTTATCAATGTAAGACTTATTTCTCTTTTCTTCATTTGTTAGTCCAGATTCTTAAGATTTTTCATTGCTATTGAGAGGCCAATTCTTTTGGTTAGTGAACTATCTACGCCCAAACCCACCCTTGCAAGTTTTCGTTTGTTTTCTTCTGCTCTTCTTTTCTTGTTGAATAAGTTTTTCTACCTTTATTGATGTTAGTCTCCCTTCGCTTCTCTTTATTTCTTAAATAGGTCTGATGTAGTTTTTACGTCGTAGTTCATAGGCCAACTTTTCTAGGTCAGTCAATTTTCTACATTTATCAATATAAGTCTTCTTTCGCTTTTCTTTATTTCTTAAATATGTCTGATGTTTTAGTTCTTTACGTCGCTGTTCAGAGGCCAACAGTTCTTGTTCAGTCAACCTTTTACGTCCAGCCCCATCCTTGCAAATCTTCGTCTCAAAATCGATCATAAAGTCAGTTTATATAATAATAGTTTTCATAATCGTAATATATCGAATGAGTATCACTTTACCTTGTTGGAGTTGGTACTTCAAATACTTGATAACGTCT